GGGGGGGCTTTCGCGCGCTAAAGCTACAAGAGTGGGTGCGGCAGCGCGCCCGAGCGCGGCGACTAGGGACAAGAAGAGACGAGTGCGAACTACCTCGAGGCAATTTGACAGTCGGCAGTCGGCGCGCACTACTACACGAGTGTCTTACGTTAAGTCGACATGGCATGTTCGGAAGTGCGTCAAAGTTTCCTACTACACCGCGATTAAAATCAATATGACCTATATACTAGGGGTGATCGAATTTTGCATATTTTTGATTCGAGAATTGTAATAGTGCGGAAAAGTTGCCTTGGTATATCCTAAGACTAACCATATTTTTTATTTTTTTTTCGGACAAAATCTTGTGTTCGAACCGGAAGCTTGAAATTTCGTAACTTTGCCTAAAATTGTATATATGACACCATAGCGCCGAAACCACAACTCTGATCAAAAAAAGTTATTTGAAAAAGTTGTTCAAAATTTTGTCACCTTTCGAAATGGTCATATGTGTTTTGACCGTAGGACCAACCATTTCGAAGATACGCGCGATAACAAGCCGCGCCGCAACTATAGGTGAAAATGTATGCAGCTCTCTGCTAACCAGTATTGGTCACCCAGAACCCACCACGTGGAGGTGGCTGCAAAACGGGTTCCTCCCAAGCCCAACCCAACCAACCAACCATATGTTAGGCTTGTTTTAGTCTGTTTCTGACTTAAATGTTTGAATAAAATCTGATTTTGAAGCAAATTTTGGTATTTGTTGCCGAGATTTGAGTGTTGTTCTAATAAATCTGTCACGTGCCTCGGGGCCATACACTGCTTGTGATGCCTCCGTCACTAGCTTGACAGTTCTTTCCACTGCCACAGTATGGCAAGGGAACTTCTGAAAATCCCATTCTATCGCTGAGTCCTCGGATAACCCGTTAATGAGTTCTTTGTTCGAAATCGAGCGAAGAACAGGCGGAACAGTTAAGGTAACTTTTTTCCAGTCAATTATTTCATAGTAGTTTGTAGCTTTGAAATTCAGTGTTGGTACAAGATTAAACCTTATATTTCTCTTTGCAGGTCCTGTCTCCACCTCTCTGGCTGTCAGAAGACGATCAAGTGCCAGCTTTCTGACTTCTGATTTTGCATCGGTCATCATGCTTAGAAGAATGTTTTCAGGGAAAGCAAAGTAAGCATTCTGTTGAATTGATGCATCGACTATCTTACGAAGCTTAGCAGGTAGGTATCGTGATTTTTGAATGGCGTCAAACAAATGCCTGGATCCATCTTTGATTGAACTGTGAAACCTGATTGAGAACCACAACGGTGAGTAAACTGTAAGTATGTATTTGACAATTGTTTTAAAATCATTTGTTGGTCTATTTGTTGAAACGTATAATCTCAAAATTCTGTTTGCACAGGTAAGCCAGCGAGATTTGCACATGTTCCCTGGTTTCAGTTCAGCCACATCAGGAGGGCAGTTACCCGAAATAACAGCTTGTGATATTTTATAGAGGTAGCACTGGTCGGTGCTCAGTTTTGTGCAATCGATAACCTCATCGGGCAATTGGCAGGAAGGGAAACCGGCGAATTTCACTACAGGTAAGTTCTCACAGTCAGAGAGCTGAGAGCCTATTGGGCCTGTGAATGATTTTGGCCCCGACGTCCCACCATCAATGTGCTCAAATAGTGCACGAAACGGCAGCTCATTGAAATGCAAGAGACACACTATCCACTGTAGCGGCCTGCCTAGCTTTTGTTCAAGTTTTCTTATTATACCACCTTTCCAGCCTGTGTTTGTATTGGTGCCATCAGCACCGACAACTTGAAGGTGTTCCAGGTCTATAGAGTTGGCTTCAAAATATTGCCACATTGCTTGAAACTCACTCTCAGCTTGGCCACATTCACAAGCAACATGACCGATATATTGTGAACCGGGCTCTGCTACGAGAGAAATGTGCTCCTCCTTTATTACATTTTTGAATAACTTTCCAGACCTAGTAACTTGTTGCAGGGTTTTGTCTTTACGACCGTCAAAATAAAGCCCAAGCAGGGAGTCAAGGTGTTCCGTTTCTTGCAGCTTAGCCCCGATCTGTTCTTTAGCTCGCCTTATCTTACATCTGTCACTGACAAAACGAGCCTGCTCCGTTGTTATCAGTCCTGCTTTTTGTGCATCCAAAAATGCAGATGAAACAATCAAAGCTGCCGCCCTGTCACTAACTCCAAACCTCTGAGCAGCCAACGCAGTCTGTTCTAGTTTTACTGTATTTAATGTCTTTTTGTTTGCTTCCACAGCTGGTTTGTGAGTGGTCTGTAAATGATTTGAGACAGTTTTGTCACTGTTTGCACCTGCACCTTGTCTACTACGTGACTTAGAACATGACGGAACAGTCCATGCTGTGGTTGATTGTGAGCTGGACTGTGAATGTCTGTTCATTATTTGTGATTTACGCTCACTTCTCTTTAAAAGTTTTTTTGTTTCAGGGAGATCAACAGAGCCGATCTTGCCAATTCTTCTACTCCTCTGGTCGAGAAGGAAAGGTTGTTCAATCAAAGGGACCTTCTTTTCCTTTGGACAAGTGCAAGACTCAAAAGAAGCACACTTACAAGAAGCAATATCGAAAAGTTTTTGAGCAGAAGAGACAAAGGAGTCCCTTCTCTCCTGCAATCCTGTTTTATCTCTAAGGTATACCTTTTTAAATGTAATGTACTTGTTATGATATGCTTTCAGTAATTGTATAACCCTTGTATGTGAAACTGTCGGAATAGATGCTTTTATGAAAATGTTCTCGACTTTGTTTGCAACTGTCTCCGAAATCTCACTAAAAAGTGGTTCAATATTTTTCCCACGCAGCATACCTATGCGTCGTCTTTCGTGCAGACAGCACAAAAGCACGTCCTTGTATGTTGGAAGGCGAGACTCATTGAGGTCACATGGATATGTGTCAAAAACTGGACATTTCTGTCTAAAAGTAAATTTAGAACAGGACATGTTGAATGCCAATGTTTGTCAAGTTTGTGTAAGTGAATGGTGTAGTACGTGAAATACAACAGTCGCCAGAAAACGCAATCGCCAACGAATAACGAGAAAAGAATATTCGAGTCAGTCGATCCTGTCCGAACCTGTCGGGCGAAGGGGAATAGCGAGCCGCTAGAGGTGGCTGCCGGCCGAGCGGCGGCGCGGCGGGCAGGGAGCCGGGCAAGAGGGGAGGTGGGGGGAGACTTCCCGGAACGGCACTCCCCAACCCAGCCCATTGTTGCGACTGCCTGAGTGAGCAGCACGCCGCCCGGCCCAGCCGCACATTTTCACCTATAGTTGCGGCGCGGCTTGTTATCGCGCGTATCTTCGAAATGGTTGGTCCTACGGTCAAAACACATATGACCATTTCGAAAGGTGACAAAATTTTGAACAACTTTTTCAAATAACTTTTTTTGATCAGAGTTGTGGTTTCGGCGCTATGGTGTCATATATACAATTTTAGGCAAAGTTACGAAATTTCAAGCTTCCGGTTCGAACACAAGATTTTGTCCGAAAAAAAAATAAAAAATATGGTTAGTCTTAGGATATACCAAGGCAACTTTTCCGCACTATTACAATTCTCGAATCAAAAATATGCAAAATTCGATCACCCCTAGTATATAGGTCATATTGATTTTAATCGCGGTGTAGTAGGAAACTTTGACGCACTTCCGAACATGCCATGTCGACTTAACGTAAGACACTCGTGTAGTAGTGCGCGCCGACTGCCGACTGTCAAATTGCCTCGAGGTAGTTCGCACTCGTCTCTTCTTGTCCCTAGTCGCCGCGCTCGGGCGCGCTGCCGCACCCACTCTTGTAGCTTTAGCGCGCGAAAGCCCCCCC